AGGTAAAACGTTTGGCACAAACTTAACTTAAATTTTGACGACAAATCTGAAAATGAATGAAAAAAGGGGCGGTTCCATTTAAAAAACCAAAGTTGGTAACTACCACACGTTTATGATACACCCCGTATATTGGAAAGAAATTTTAAAATGTGGGCCTTTTAAACATGAAAAACTTTCGTAGGACGTATTTTCTTGTAAAGTTCATATTTACTGAGATATCGCACTTTGACGCACTAATGAGCAACCCTGTATAAATTGCTGTCTCTAAGTGCTTGAAACTTACACGCTGATATTTTTGTGGAACCTGATACTGGAGTTGAAGCTTACATCATTTTATCACTGTATCGCTTTCCACTATAATTGTCATATACGATCCTCTAAATTAACTGTTCGGGTTTCTGTTCAACATGATAATACCAAATTGCAAACCAAGAGTTTTGGTGGATTTAACGAAACCAAAAGTGGTTTATCCTTCTGCTTAATTCGAAGCTTAACAGAAATTCATTTGATGACCCAGAAATGCGTATGGAATTGACAGGGTCATTTTAAAACTTAATAATCTGCTGTGTAAATAAATTATTTTCGAGAGCTGGAAACAAGCCATTTGAAATTAAGCGCTTTAATTAAATAATAACCTATACAATTATATTTTGGATAAATGAATTATGACTGGACCAGCGGAGTTTGTGCTCGATATGGGTGTGTTTGTGTCGTGATTGTAATATTGGATGGTGCCTGAATTTTCTCTTTTAAACAGTTTCTCCATCTCGTTTCATAATTGATGCGGATATGACTGCCGTTTCCCCTTTTACTTTAAAAGCGTTCTTAGCATTGGGTATTTTTACGTTTATTAAACTTTCTTATAGAAAATAAACACTTTGGCATTTGCCACCGTTCTTTTTCCTATAGCACGGTGTTCAATTTATCGCTTTTAAAGTTTCTCGAGGATTTTCAATCTCGTTTACTACTTTAAGTGGACATGACTACCGTTTTACTTTCACTTAGCATTGTGTATTTATATTTAATCTAAATTTCACACAATTTTGCGATTTCCTTTCAACGAAATAGTGACAACGCTTGTGTGCACACTGACGAGGAACAAAACGGCAACAAAAGCAAAACTGCGTTTTAAGTTTCGGTTTTGTCTCGTGCCTTCACACGTAGATTCCGTTGCCTATAGAGGCTTCTAAACAGTGAAATAATGTGGCGTTTTCATGCTGCAGGAAGAAAACGAGATTATTTTCTTACCACGTTTGCTGGGTTTATGTTCCGTGGAAGTTGCGAGCGAAAAAATAAAACACAATTTTCAAGAAAAAACATG